TCTCATAGTCAAAGTTCCTAGACCTGATAGAGGCCACTCAGGCACCAGCTTCATCAGTTTCAGTATATTTCCATCTGTGCCTCTGGCCATCTGATGTTCTCTGAGGCAGTGGGTCTCCCTTGGCAGGATCAGAATTCCTTAGGGCTCCTGGTCCCTCCCTCCTTGACCTTGACATAGGCTTAATAGCTTCTGCTTGATCCAGGCGGTGGTGGTGCACATCTTTAATCCCAGCACTTGTGAGGCAGAGACAAGTATATCTCTTGAGTTCAAGGCCAACCTGGTCTGTATAGTGAGTTCCAGAACAGCCAGCCAGGGCTACAGAGAACCCATCTTGAATTGGCGCGGGGGGAGGGGGGGATGTTGAAGCTCTATTCTGTTCCCTCAGAATGCCTTCCCCTTAGCCTTTAGCCCATGCATGGCCTTTTCCTGACCTTGACAGGCTGGAGCTCCTGTTCCTTCCTTGTTTGGGATACTTGGTCCCATTGTCCCCTCTCCCAATTCTGTGTCTGTTTTGTTCACCTTGTCTTCCAGTGTTCTAGTGCTCTCTAGCTACCTGAATTAATGTTGACCCAGTATTAAGAACCCCTGTGGGCTGTGGTCATGGCTCTATGGCCTTGATGTTTCCTCAGGAGGCAATCCAACTGGATGGCGAGATCCTCTTCTCACTACTACAGAAGGTGTCCCCTGTGGCTCACAAGCACCTTAGCCGCCAGAAGATCGACCCCCTGCTATACATGACAGAGTGGTTCATGTGTGCCTTTGCCCGTACCCTGCCTTGGAGCTCTGTGCTGCGAGTCTGGGACATGTTCTTTTGTGAAGGTACCAGGCTATGCTGGCTTGTGGGGGGTGCAAAAGAAGCCCACAAACCTCCCTTGGACTCATCACCTGCCCCATACAGGAGTCAAGATCATCTTCCGTGTGGGGCTGGTACTGCTGAAGCATGCACTAGGCTCCCCCGAGAAGCTCAAAGCCTGCCAGGGCCAGTATGAAACCATCGAGCAGCTGCGGAGCCTCAGCCCCAAGATCATGCAGGAAGCCTTCTTGGTTCAGGAGGTGTGGCCCGCACCTCCCACTTGCTATTGGAGGGAAGGGGAGCTGGCAATGGCTTTGGAGGAGGCCTTATATGGCCCTGCTCCAAGGGTTGGTCAGCCCAGGTCAGGGTGGATGAAACTCATCCTTTTGCCTGGCAAGTGGGGTGCGGAGGCCCAGCTTTGCAGTGCCTGCCTTAGCTAGTCCACTTTGGGAATAGAGAAGAGCTGTGATCTACAGCCTTCTCTCTCTCTCTCTCTCTCTCTCTCTCTATGTTTATGTGTGTGTGTGTGTGTGTGTGTGTGTGTGTGTGTGTGTGTGTGTGTGTAGTTGTTTTTGGGGGGCTACAAATTTAAGAGACACAGGCATGGCCAGCTTCTCTGGTGGGGGGGGCAGGGGGAGGTCTATGCTAGTGCATGTTGCAGGGGCAGACATACAAAGCCATTTTGTACCCACTTCCAGCACTGTCTCCAGTTTACATTTGAGGAAATAGAGGCTCATAGAGGCAGAATTTCAAAGTGATCCCCTTAGTAACCAGCTGAAAAGTAGTGGAGCTGGAATTGAAGTCTAGATAGCCAGGCTGCCCTGGTCAGTAGAAGACAGTACTGGCTAAGAGTGGGGTTGCACATTTCGGCCCTGCCCCTTCTGTCCAAGATGGAAGGTGAGTGGGCCTGTGAGCTGTAGGCAGCTTTCTCCTCTGAGACAGTGGGTCTCCTGTTTGGCATTCAAACCAAAACCATAGCTTTCAGGAGCTCAGCTTTTAGCAGGCACAGTCAAGGGTTGGTGGTGGGCAGGAGAGCCTAGGATTGGAGGCGGTACGGAAAGGTCATTCTTTCTAGTGCTCACACACCCCTTGTTGCCCCAAAGGTGATAGAGTTGCCTGTGACAGAGCGCCAGATTGAGCGGGAGCACCTTATACAGCTGCGACGCTGGCAAGAGACCCGTGGTGAGCTGGAGTGTCGCTCTCCACCTAGGATGCATGGTGCCAAGGCCATCCTGGATGCAGAGCCTGGTCCTCGACCTACCCTGCAACCGTCACCTTCCATACGCCTACCCTCAGATGCAACCCTCCTCACCTCCAAAGCTAAGCCACCCAAGCAGGTCCAGAAGGAGCAGAGGAGGACAAAAGACAGCGGGCAGCTGGACAAGTCCCCAGGCCCCAATCAAGCTGCAGTGATGACTGCTTCAGGAGATGCATGCCCTCCTCAGGATGTGTCCCCAAAGGACTCAGTCCCCCAGGACTCTGCTCCCCAGGACTTAGCCTACCACCGTTCCCAGGAGAGCCTGAACTCCCAGGAGAGTGAGGACACCTACTTGTAACCCGGGAGCCAGGCCTCCAAGTGGGGTCTCCACACATCTTACACGGTTCAAAGACTGACAGCACTCCAGGTCCTGTGTACCTGAAGGCCCAACTGCTTGGCCATTGGGCTGGGACAGAATCTGGCTGGCCCAGTACAGATTCTGCCTAAGCCTCCTTATTTATTTTCTCTTGAGTCAAGTTGGCTCAGCCAGCACAGGCAGAAGCTATGGCCCAATGGGTTGGGTCTCACTCAGTCCCATCCTCCTGGGAAATGTTCCCCAGGGCTAGGGTGCTGACATGCGGGGAAGTGGTGGGGTACTCTTTGTGTAAAATAGAAACATGGTTTTGTACGGAAATAAACAGGCTTGTATAGAGAGCTGGTGTGCAGCTAGGAACCCAGAAGGGACACCACCCTTCATCCTGGGCCCCTAGCCCAGCAGGAACCCCTCTGAAACATACATTTGATACAGGAGGCACCAAGTCCAGAGCCAGCTGCTATTATAGGCTCTATTCTCTCTCAACCCATCTCTGATGTCATGTCCATCTTCTGACATAGAAGAATCACTCTAGAGCTGAAGCCAATCACTGGGGCAAAGCAGGAAAGAATCCCCAAGGTCCCTGCTTTTTTTTGGGGGGGGGTCAGGGTTTCTCTGTGTAGCCCTGGCTGTCCTAGAACTCACTTTGTACATCAGGGTGGCCTTGAACTCAGAGAGCTCCACCTGAGTGTTGGGATTAAAGGCCTGGTCCCTGCTTTTTTATTGGGGGGGGGGGGGGGAATC